GTAACCGATGTGATTCTGCAACTTGTATTTGGGGTAAAAAATGGGAGTTAATAACCCACTTGAATCAAATGTATGGAAGATGATATGTCATGAGCTTTGTAATGTTTTGAACAACCAATTAAAAAAAAAAAAAAAAAAAAAAAAGCTATCCAGGACAAAATGGGACCTCTGGAAGGTTGATCTCAGTCCCTCTTACTCTCAGAAGGCATAGGGTGGGCACATTGTTCCTATCAAAAGCTATGTTCTGGGTCTTTTCCTTTTCGGCTCTCTTGAGTTCTCTGATAACATTTCTACCCACCTACCTCCAACACCACCAGGCTGGGGTCCAGCATTCTCATGTTCTGGGCTGATTGACACTTACTGATTAGAAACAAGTATTCAAATTTATTAGAATAAAAAATATAAAATTGAGGAATGTTATTAGTATCATTTCTGGGTTTTGTTTTTGGTTTGTTTGGGGGTTGTTTGGTTTTTGTGTGAGGGGTTTTCTTTCTCTCTCTCTCTCTCTCTCTTTTTTTTCTGCTGAGAGTTGAATTAAGGGCCTCATGCATACTAAGATATACTCCCAACCCCTCCTTTCTGGATTTCAGTTGAAACCTATATTAAATATGACAATTTCTTCAGAGAGTGGGTTATCTTTACAATTTGGGTCCTGAAATTCTGTACAATCTGTGACTTTTCTTGCCCCTCTGGCATCCCATTTGGAAACTTTACCAATGCTTTTTCTCATCTTTCTTTTCCAGGGATTTTTATCTATTCCTGGGTTATACCTTTTCCTGCCTAAAACTATCACTTTTTCCACTCTATTCTTTGTCCCTAATACTGCTTTACTTACTATTCTCTCAACATTTCCTTTCTGTTGAGAAGCTTGCAGATCACTCTATCTTTTTGTCCTTAATGTCTGACACTCTTAGATTTGAATTTCCATATAAATTCTTAGTCAATGGAGAAGCACCTAACTTACACTTTTAGACAGCTACATCTGGTTGGCTAGCTCTCTCTCTCTCTGTAATATCATTTCTCTCCCTAATTTTTGTTGTTGTGATTACTTTTGGGATCAAGGGAAACCTACATTTGATGAAGCCTTTAAGACATTTGAAGTATCACTTGAAAATCTCTGTATACTTACAGTGATCCTCAGTTGAACTTAGTTCTGAACATTATTGCTGTGATATCATTTGAAAATATAATTTATGTATTTCTTTGTTTGGACCTCAAAATTTGAGATTTTCCAAGGGTCATAGCAGACCTAAATTCTTATTACTGAATCACAGTTTTCCTTTTAAAAATGGAAGCTTAGGAAATTTGGGTATTTTTGTTAACCAATTATCTGATACAGTCTTGTAGTCTTGATTTATAAAAGCCTAAAAGATTGGTTTCTATTTACTTGGCCATCTTAGGTGCTCTATCTGTTGATAGGCAGTTCTCCTTGTTAAAAATTTTAATCTTACTTTGATAATGTTTTTAAATGACTCCAATTTTTGTTTTTCTCTTTAGAGTTTTTAAAATAAATAATACTTAGAGAATGTGTTAGCTTGTTAGAAGTATTTATAATTTTATGAAGAACTTAACCATTCTAAGATTAAATAGAATATTTTTGTTTCATCTTTAGGTTTAATAGGTAAGAACACATACTTTGTATCATTGGTTCAGCATTTTATAAAATACTTAATATGTATAATTTTATTTGTCTATTATTTTAATTTTTTTTTCTTTGCTGGGGATCCATCCCAGGGTTTCACTTGTAATAGGCAAGCAGAGTATTTTATTTTATTTTTATGTGGGGCTATGCATATATATAACAAAATATGATTGTAGTTTTCTTTGTGTAGTCTTTGATTGTGACACTATACCCTTATATTTCTTAAGCAAGTAGCTGTATGTGGCCACACTTGCCATTTTTATACTCACATCACAATGTAAAATTCATACAAACTAATAAAAAACAAGCTGATTTGGAGAAGTGTGGAGTGTGAACAAAAGGGACCAGAACCACATATAGCTTGGTGGAGTTTGTAGTAATGGTATCATTTATGAGCTGAAAGGTAGTTGGACATTTCCATTTTGGTGTTAGTCCCTTGGGAAGGAAGGGATTTCTTAATGGGATGTGATCTGCACTCTTAGTAAGAATGATTGACACTGAATGATTAAATAGAAAAGGAGAATAAATACCACTCCTCCCCCTTCTAAAACCAAGCACATATACACTGAATGCAAATCTTTTCAATGTGGAAGGCAAAGCCTGGCCATATGATAGCACATATCTGAAAAGCCAAGGGGGTGAATTAACTATGCAGATCAGAATGCATGAAAACCAAAATTATATAGTATCCTTATAAATAACTCTTAGAACCCAAAGGTACTAAATGCATAGAGTGTAATCAAAGATGCCATTTGTGAAAGTGGGCAGAATAGTTCCCTAGTCGAAGAACACGGTGCATGCCACAGTGACATGAAATCGACATGTCAGCAGGAGAGCCAGCTCTTTACTGAGCCCTCTGCCCCGTTTTCTCTCTATGAAAATGAGCTCCTAACTGGATGTTATCCTCAGCAAGTGGATTTAATTCAAAAGAAAGATACTTTTCAGATGGGCAAATTTAATGTAGTATTCACTTACCCATTATAGAAGAGAACTATATGGGAAAACATTATCATACATAATGGGGTCACATTTCAAAGATGCCATTTTGAGTGTGTTATTCTGTGTGGATTTCAAGCATTTGTCAGTAATTTTTATTCTTTAATTTGACACCATCTCAGAGCATATGGTTGAAACAGTATTGAATCTGTACTGTAATGTTTTTTTGTTAACTTACAAGTTAACACAATAAATAATCAAAACACATGATTTTTTGGTTTTCCCTTTAATTTTTGTAAGTATGATCCTGTGTTGAATTGATATATATATATATATATATATAT